ATGCAGAAATAGAAGTATAATGATGTACACCTGAAATTTATACAATGTTATAAACCAATGTTACTGCAATAAACAAAAAATTTTTAAAAATAATAATAATAATGGTAAAAATCCCCAAAGTCTTGGTCTTTCTACCTACCTATGTGACCTTCAACAGTGTCATTTAGCTTTTAATGGCTTTGGTGTCTTTCATCTGTAAAATATTGTACCAAATTATCTCTGAGACCCCTTCCAGTCCTTAATAATAATGATTATCAATATTTTAGTAAAATTCAAGTAATAGTATTCATTTTAGAAATTATTACAGATTAGCAGCTGGCATTCTGTAACGGTGAAGGTTGAATTTATTAATATAGACGTTATGCACATTCAGCTTCTTTAAGCAGATAATTGGTATTTGATTTACATCTTTACCACCCAATGTATGTCATTTTCACTAGACACAGACAGAATTTACGGTTAGATTTTTATCTGTAACCAGATTACCTGAGCACTTTCAGGCTATTGCTTTTGGGCCGATGGACCTACTGCACACACAATTTCCTGTTTCTTTTCTCCATATCATCTGTTGGCTAAAATCTCGCAATTCTTCCCAGTTAATACATACCCACTTACATCTTTGGTTCTTTGAGGCCACAACATCAATAAGTGGGGAGTTAAACAACTTTATGTGTCTGTTTTTACTACTCACTTTCTAAAATTATATAACCCTACGTCACCTTCAATTAAACTAGGTTGAAGAGTTATTAAGCTTGTTGATAAAAATGCCACTGAGTCCTTTCTTCAACAGACATTTATTGAATGCCTAGCATGGCAAACACTCTGCTAAGTGCTAGGAATACAGAGGTTAATAATATTCATTTGCTTACCTGAAGAGGTTCTTAGTTTAATTGGTAGGAGAAACAGCAGAACATATCATTATGTAATAAGTGCAGTAATTGACCTGAACATGAGTTTATAAAAACCCAGAGGGGTACTTAACCTAGTCTGGGGAAGTTAGAAGAGGCTACCTAGAGAAAGTAACACCTCAAGTGCATTTTGATTGAGGATGAGAGTGGGAGTTACGGCAGCTCCTGACAGAGCGGGTGCTGTGAACAAGGACCGCACAGAGAAAGCTGGGGTGTGTGTGTCAAGAATGACAAGCATTATGTGAGGCAGGGAGTGGTAAGCATCGACTACCATCTAGGTTCTCAGGAGCAAGAGAAGGAGGTCTTAAGTTCCGTGTTTGGGAGCTCGGACTTTAATCTGTGTGCAATGAGACACCATGAGAGAGTTTTAAGAAAAGAAATGACTTTTATAGGGGTTTGGTTTCATCCATTTCATAATCTAATTCCACAATTTTTAAAAGATGAAATTGCTCTCATTGGAAGGCCACCTAGAAAATAATTTGAATCTTTTATGTCCTATGATTTGTACTCTTCTTCTACACCCACTTTTCTTTCTAAGATCTGATTATTACCAAAAATTACACAGTGACTTAAGGCTTCTAAAAACACAAAGTTATTGTAGTCTTTATCAGACCCATCCCCAGAATTATGTGCATATATATACACTTGTTTTAATTTTATTTTAGGTTATTTTTGACTGACAAATTCTGTCACTATGTTAGTATTTCTTAGGTCCAAATAAATCTTTTAAAATATATTTTTCAATGTACAGACTGTGCTGTAATTTGATAAACCTTCCTTTAATATTTTGTCACAATCTATGAAGCACAACTGCTTCCAAGTTACAGAGATACACACCGGTTGGTTCACTGGATGAGCCTGTGGCTCTCCCTCAGGTGACCGGGCTCGGCCGGGAGCCCTTCAAGGATTCCAGCTGATACCGGTGCTGGGATTCAGTTTCCCTGGGCAGGTGGCATTCAAGAACAGTAGGCTTTTTATGCCAGTGTGACGATAATCCCAGAGTCTTCTGACATTATTTGTCTCCTCCCAACTCTTCTAAGAATCTGCAGAGTGTCAGAGAATTGGGGTGCCTCTCCTAGAGCACCCAGGATGCATCCAGCCATGCGTGGCCCCAGTATGCCTGGCCCACAGATTAGGAGGAGTCTGGGAGACCACAAGCATTTTGCTGCCCCTGAGTCTGTAAGTTTCCTGCTTCTTGTGTCATTTATGGCATCTGCCCTTGCCCGTGAGCAACAAAAGTAGAACTGTACCAGTGCCTTAACTAAGCTTTCTCAACCTAGATTTTCACCTCAGGCAACATCTAATTAGTAGTATAATTATTAATATCTGTGTATCAAGATAGCCGATTTTCTGGGATTTTTCTTTTAAATCAAAGCTGGATAAAAGATCAAGAAGTACTCACAAATGCTTTATGTGCTTTCACAAAAATAGATGAAAATTCTTATGTCACTTTTATGATGGAAATGTTTTAACTTTCAAACTTCACACATACTCTAAGAAATTTTATTTTTTTAAACATAAGCAAAATATCTAGAATTTTTATTAATCCCAGCATACAAACTAAAATATTGAGATAGGATTCATTACCTGTTAATTATTTTAAACTTTAAATTAATAATAATTACTGCTGGTGATTGTGCCTAATAAAACTCCAACTTTTTAACATTGAATTTCCCCTTTTAAATTTTAAGAAATTTTAATATTTAAACACTGGCAAAATTATGCTGTTTTTGTATACGAAATCCATCACAGGCAGTAGGAAGTTCTAACAATGACCTGAAACTGTGCTGTCAGTACAGCCACATATGGCTATTTAAATTAAATAAATAAAATGAAAATGCATTTCTTAAGTTGCACTAGCTACATTTCAAGTGTCCAGTAGCCGCATGTGGTTAGCGGCTACCATGCCAGACAGTGCAGATATAGAAAGAGCATTTCCACCATCACAGAAATTTCTGGACAGTGCTAGTTTAGAAGATATCCCCAGTTTCTGGTTGAAATTTTGACAGCCTAATGATCAAAACTTTCTAACCCTGAGCTTTGCATGCCCAAGAGCAGTAAGACATTCCTTTTTTTTTTCTGTCAGACCAGAAAAGCTATATCCAGCACATTTTGAAAGGCTAGTCTTCCAACTATGGAAACTTTATACAGCACAGTAGATGTGTTCAGCAGAGCCAGCTTAAAATTAATCCTTTTTCCTATTGAATTCCATTATAAAACCAGGTCTGTGTTCTTATAATTGAAATCACACTTATGAATAAAAATCTTTTATGGAAATTATAATTTGCAGGAACTGTAGTTTATTTTCTAGATGTCTAAGTGGTATTACTGTATTAGCCTTAGGTGGGACCAGAGAACTTGTTTGTTTTATAACTTTTATTATAGAAATTCCTTAGGAACATTATCAGTGAAGGATTTTTGTTACAGTTATCCCTTGGTATGCAGAAAATATTTATCATGCAGATTATACATTGTGATATATTTTGTTATTGAATGTTGGCTTTTATAAAGGTAATATATTGTTTGTGTGCCCAGCAAATCCTCTAAAAAAGGCATGGGTTGATTTCTAGAGACTTAAGAACATGCCACCTCTAGTTTATAAGACCATTCCCTGAAGATTTACCTATCCAGTACCATCTCTTATAAAAATAACTGCCTCTAAGTATCAAAAATTATGAAATGCTGGTAATGTGACAAAAATTTCTTGTTGTTCTTCACTGAGATAGTTTGCTTATTTGTGTTATTGATAACTTCTTTAATTTCTCCTGAAGTATTAGCATAATTTCATGTAATTCGGAAACATCTTAATTAGAAAATGAAAGTAAACTTATGCACATGAAAATCTATCAGAAACCTTAGTGGGTGTTTAATAAATTAATTGAATGATCAAAAATGCAGCTGTGTCTTGCTCTGTGATGGCGAATTTTTGAAACGTATCATTACGAACTATGTTTGAAATGCACTCTATTTTTATTTCTTGTTCTCTCCGGGGCTTTTACAGCACAGGATTTTTAATAATACACAGTGTTGATTTGTGATGTATCCATTGTTTTTTCTTGAATTGTATCATCAGCTTCGTAGGATGTTTCATTTGTTGCTGCATTGGAATTGGGGGCTTTGGTTTTCCTGTTTGAGTTGCCTGCAAATACACAAGACAAAATGAAATAATTATTTGGGATTATGACAAAATTTGACTTCTTAAAATTTGTGCTTAAAAAATAAATGTTGTAGCAGTAGTGAAAAGATGATGTCCTGAAAACGCTATGTTAATGAGTGAGAACTGAACCATTTCAAATTTGTTTTTGAGCATTTCCTCCTGAAAGTCAAATAAGGGAAATATTCAGTAACAAAAGTAAGGATTCCATTTCCCTGCTTATCTTTTTTTCTTCATGCTTCCATGGAAGAAACTGCCTATTTGATAAGAAGATAATTTTTGGGTTGCTAAATAAAACTGTGACTGTCCCTATGCATAAAGTGAACAAAACCATCTAAAGCCAATCATAATAATTTGCAACTCTCAAAGCTTTGCCATCATAATGAATTTAGATGTAATTTTTTAAAAGAACACATTTGTGTCACAATCTCATTCACTCATTCTATGTAAATCTGAGTCCAAAATGCACAAAGGTAGAGGAATATGGACCTTTGCACATCAGAAGTTCAACTAACAAGCTTATAGCAAAGAAATGGATTATTCTTCAACAAATGGTTAGAAAAGAAATAGTGAAAATAATTAATGTATCATATATTTCACTAATATATACAATTTTAAATATATTTAAATAATATATAAATATAGAATGCAATGAAAGAAATCACAGACGTCACTAATGACCTCCTGTTGCCAATCCACAGTCCAGTTCACAATCCACATCTCATTTGACCTATTAACAGCATTTTCTTTTTTGGGCTTCCGGGATGCCACTCTTCCTTGACTGACTCCTGTGTTACCATTGCTCCTTCTCAGCCTCTCTTGCTGGTCCCTTTTCTTCTCCCAGGCCTCTTAGACTTAAGTGCTTCAGGGCTCAGCCATTGGTTCCTATCGCTGTCTCACTCCCTAATTAGTCTCATTAGTCCCACAGGTTTTAATACCATCTCTACGCTGATGACTCCCAAAGACATATCTCTAACCCAGACCTCTCCTGAACTCCAGACTCAACCTTCTAATTGACATCTCCACTTAGATATCTAGTAGACATCTCCAACTTAGTCCAAAACTGAAATTTGGATCATTTCCAGAAAAAAAAACGCCTACTCCACTTACAGTTTTTCTTCCAGTGGCTCGAAGCTCCATGTCTCCAGCTGCTTAGGCCAAAAGCCTCAGTCCTCCTTGATTCTTTTCTCTCACACCCCACATCCAATCCATCTGAAATCCTGTCGACTACACTTGTAAAATATATCCAGAATCAGTCCACTTCTCACCACCTTCACTGCTACCACTGATTCTATTTTTAGCACAACACTCAGCGTGATCCTTTAAAACATAAGTCAAATCATGTCCTCTGCTCAGAACCCTCCTTTTCACCCAAGTCTTTATAATGGCCTACATGATCTCATACACACACACCATTAATTTCCTTGACTTCATATTTTTCTATTCACCTTCTCATTCGCTCCAACCTCTTTGATCAAACATTTCAGGCGTGTTCCAGCTACAGGGCCTTTCCACTGGCTATTCACTCTGTCTGGTATGCTCTTCTCCCAGATTATCTGCATGGTAACTCTCTCATTTCCAAGTCCTTGCTCAAAAGTCACCGTTTCCATTGGACTAAACACTGTATTTAAAATTGCAACTACACCCCCCCATCCCCAATCCCTTTTGTTCTCCACTTTTTCCTATAGCATTTATTTTCTAATATACTATATAATTTACCTATTTATTATGTTTATCATTTATTATCTATCTCCCCTCACTAAAATGTAAGCATCACATGCCAGAGATCTTTTAGTAGTTTATTCATTGATGATGTGTCTAGAAAAAAATGTCTTGCACATAACTGTGTTCAATAAACATTTGTTGAGTGAAATAATGAATTAAAGCATAAGACTGAAAGTTTGACGTAGTAAAAACTTTAAAATTGTAGCTGGCAAAAGACAAGATTGGAAGTCAACTGGGAAGAAAAGTTTAGAACAAATGATTCATGTCTAACATATAATGAAGTCTTACATATCAATATTTAAAACATTAACACCTCTTAGTGGGTGAAAAAAAATGGACAAAAGATATGATGGCTAATAAACATGAAAAAATCTTCAATCTTACTAGTCAGAAAGAAATGTAAATTCAAAAGGTAATAAACCATTTTTCGTGTCTCAACTAGGCACAGATAAAGGGTGTGGCATGATGCACCACATTTTTTTTTAAGTCTGAATTTGTAATGCAATTTTAACGTAAAGTTCCCAAGGAGACCAACAGAGATGAGATCTAAAATTTATATAAAAAGATGTTCAGTGGTTATTTTCAATACCAAAGAATGTAAGTGCCTTAAATTTCTAATAATAGGGGAATTGCTAAATTATCATGCATGAAGTATCATAAAATGGTGATTTCCAATAAATTTTTATCACATGGAAAGTTCTCAGAATACAATGTTAAGTATGAAAGGATGCAAAATTATCAGCAATGCAATAATAGCTAGTACTTTTGGCTTACTATCAGCTTCTCTCTGCTTAAAATCCTTTAGGATCACATCTGAACTTCCTGGTTAGGCCGGGGACCTGGCCCTGCTTCCGTCTCCCAGCTCAGCTTGCCCCACTCCCTTCCTTATACTTGGTATTTCAGACACACAGAAATACTGACAGGTTCCCCAAGCGTGCCCTGCTCCCTCTCTCTGCCCCAAGCCTTTGCACACACTCTTCCAGCTACTCGGTGTCTTTACTTTCCAATCACTTTCACTTGAATAACTCTTAATTGTCCTTCAGATTTTCGAAATATCTGCTCTGAACCTCCCTAAGGGGACAGGGGACCCACTGACCAAGAGGTTCCATTATTAAAAGTAGCTACTTCCTCTACTTTTTGCCATCTAGACTGTCTTCTTGATATGACCCTTTCATTTTTTTTTCTTTAGATAAGTCTAAGCCTCACCTTTAAGTGTGTGCATACTGCCATTTATAAGTAATTGTATAAACTGCTTTCCAGGGGCAATCAGGACATCTCCCACTGTGGGTTGATTTCATAGTTCCACACTCAAAGGGCAATATTATTTACAAGTTTTGAAGAATGATGTCTCACTACAGCCCAGATCCTGCCCATAGGACTGAAACATGTATGGTATTGTTCTCTGGGCTAATACTAAAAGTATTATAAGTTTAAAATGTAGGGCATAAAGAGGTACAGTACATGGTTTTATTTCATTACATTTCTTCTGAACGTTTTTGATGGTAAAATAATGTTCTACTTCTAAACATCCAATAATAATGTTTCAACCATATAATTTGGTTTTTAAAAGTTAATTTTGTAGGCACAACATTTTCTAGCCTGGCAAGGAGCCCTTTGCCCAATCAGCCAGCATAGCTGTTTAAGATACATGTAGCAGAGAAAGCTGGCATGGAAATTTGATAAACTGACAAATTCTTGACTGTTATTTACAAAGTGGACTTTTTAAAAAATATTAGATTCAGGCCGACCCCGTGGCTTAGCGGTTAAGTGTGCGCTCCGCTCCCGGCGGCCCGGGTTCCAATCCCCGGGGGCGCACGCACCGCTTGTCTGGCCATGCTGAGGCTGCGTCCCACACACAGCAACTAGAAGGATGTGAACTATGACATACAACTATCTACTGGGGCTTTGGAGAGAAAAAGGGGGGAAAAAAGGAGGAGGATTGGCAATAGATGTTAGCTCAGGGCTGGTCTTCCTCAGCAAAAGAGGAGGATTGGCATAGATGTTAGCTCAGGGCTGATCTTCCTCACAAAACAAAACAAAACAAACAAACATATAGATTCAAATTTAACTACTTAATACTTAAGTAATGGAATATATTCCATATGGGGGCCCTTAAAACTTTTTTCCTCACATAATATTTAAAAAACAAAATGTTTGTAGGTTTATTTTTCATTTTATCACAGCAGGAAAAGGTAAAAGATCAAGGATATAAGATGTAAATTGATTTCATATTATCTGGGTGGCATTTGTATCTTACATAAGCATTTCTTTAAACATCTAAAATTTTAATATTGCATTTCCTGGAAGTCTGAAAACTGTAATGTTGGTTAATTCAACTCTTTCATGTTTCCTAAGCTTTTTCTTACTTAAATTTATAATATTTTAATCAGATTTTCAAGGTGTTTTTATCTACCTTGTCACATACAGTTTTTGTTTTTGTCTTTTTTTATGGGAAATAAACTCAGGAAGTTATTTCCTGACTTAGTTTGGGGTTATCTCTAAGTCATCGTCATTCTGACAGGTCTAGTTTCCATGATGTTTTCTGGCCACAGCTGAAAGAGTTTAACCTGTCTACTGCCCTCTGAGATTTAAAGGCTTGCAAAATACATTCCAGAATTAGGGATTTTTCTTCATCTAGGACTTGTAAAGACTCCCATTCTCCAGCCCTGACCCCATTATTCCCTTGGCCACTGGATCCTTCTAACCAGTGTAGGTGCAGTCAAAGATTATTTCTTAGATTGGCTTCTTAAGGCAAGGCAGTTCCCCTAACAAAACCAATTTGCTAACGAACAAGAAAAGATTTGTTGTAAATAAACACAATACTGACATCATTTGGAGCAGGAGCTTTGATTAGCAAGTCAACACCTTTGGTGTTCACTCTCTTCCTGCAGCTTATAAAAATCCAAAGGTGCTTTCAATGTATATCCCTCTGGAAGTTGGAGTAATTGGACATATGGAAAAACAATTACAATGAGTGGGATGCCATGATGACGGAGTCCTGCTAACTGCATTCCTTTGGAATGATTTTAAAAGAGAAAGAAGCAAAAGTCTCAGCAACCTCAGCTTTTCCTAGTTTTGCTTTAATAAAAAGGAGCTAATTTCTTAACCAATGAAATAGGGATAAAACCAGCTGCCTCCTTTCTGTCACAAGGTTACAACATGGATTCCATTTTAAATAAGAAATCTGTAATTCCATTGAGCTCCCAAGGGATTTGTTACACCTACAGAGTTTTTCTTATTGAATTCCTCCTTTTCTTTAG